TTTTTTTAGATACTGGGGTACTTGTTTTTGGACGCTGAAAATGGAAAATGAGTACCGTTACTGGGTACAGGGTAAACGGTACTGGGCGATAGAAATTTCATTAGTCTGTATCTGTTTGCCTGTCTGTCTGTCTGTTCACTTGTTCTTTAATCTTTCTGCCTGTCTCCCTGTCTCTCCATTTTTTTTTCTTTTTTGCTCCTCATCTTCGTCCTCATCCTCCTTCTCGAATAGTGATACCCCCCCCCCCGCCGTTTTTTACATTGAACCGCTCAGATTTCTTTCGTCATGTTATAAAATTGGTCCTCTCTATATATCCCTCCTTTTTTGTCTAAAATCGTTTTCACCCCTTAGACACTTCTCAAAGTTCCTGTTCCGACAACTCGGACCCAATAGCTCTGACCTGCTGTTGAAGGAACATCTTTCCCCAATCTCTCTCTCTCTCTCTCTCTCTCTCTCTCTCTCTCTCTCTCTCTCTCTCTCTCTCTTCTCCACCCCTCCCTGGATGGATGTGTCGCGTCGGTAGCCTAATGTTTAGGCTACAGGACTCATAATCGTGAGATTGCGGGTAAGGGGGTTCGAGCCTCAGGTCGGTCCGACGTTGTGTCCTTGGGAAAGGCACTTTACACGAATTTCCCACTTGGCTCGGTCCTTTCGGAGACGGACGTTAAACTAGGAGGCCCCGCCTCTTAAACAGCCTAATAGTGTTGATAGGGGCGTTAAACCGATACCATTTCACCATTTCTATTCTGGATGGATGTTCTGTGGTATAAAACTATCGTCAGACGTAACCAAAGTGCAAAGTGACCGTCTTTGAAAGAAGCCATGTCTTGCATCGTGAATGGGGCGCTCGAGTTAACGCGACTCTTTAGTTTTGATTTTAAGTAATTTTGTGTTCCGGTCTAATGGGTTCGTTTTTGTCTGTATCTGTATTTAGTTTTGGAAATACATGTACAGCTGATTTCAATGGGCCAGTGCACTTCAACCTGTTGGTGGTTGGCGGGTGCTCTTTTGAGGTTTGCTCCTTCTTTCTCATCAAACATCCTTCGTCCTTATTATTCTCTCCCCCTTCACTTCTTTGTATGTTTTTACTTTCCAGTAATACCTCTAAACGTTGACACTTATTGAGTTGCAAGTGCCGTAAAACTCTTATCAAAACTAACAACTAAAAAAAGAGATTTTCTTCCTCAGACGTGGACGAATGTGCCACGGGAAGCAACAACTGCGAGCAACTGTGTGAGAACGTACCTGGCCAGTTCAACTGCAAATGTCGCTACGGTATGAAACTTGCAGACGACAGGAGAACCTGCTACGAGGGTATGCTTGACAAGCTTTTGGTTTATTTGATCCTTTTGTTTTAATACAAAACATGTTATTTATTTATTTATTTATCTATTTATTTATTTCTAGTTTCGGGGGGGGGGGGGGGGGGGGGGCTGCTGTTTGAAGAGCAGATTCACAATATTTTATTACAGTTGAGAACACTGTGCCACCGTCTAACCATATTTCATCCTTTTCTGTCCCGTTAGTTTGTGTTTTTGTCCATCTTCTATCCATCTATTTCTCTCTCCCTTCCCCCATATATCTATTTCAATGAACTTTCGTCTTCTGCATGCAACAGCAAAGACCATAGCCATGACACCATAAGCACCGATATTTGTGTAAAAATAAAACATTTTAGAATCTATATGTGTGTGTACATTCTTATTTGCACCCATGTAATATTTATGTACAAGCTATATGTCCATGCTATTTATACATGCATACATGTGATACAGTGCAGTTCGTTTACACCGGGAACAGTTAATCTGAAAAAGAAAAATTCCGAAAAAAAATAGAATTCTCTATTTAGAGAATGTGAGAAAGAGGTTGCTAGAGTACATACATGGACAGTGTCATTAATTTTGTAGATGTACATGTAGAGTTGTAGATAATGTTATTCTTTATCATTTGGGGTATATCTTTATTGTTCAGATATCAATAAAAGAATTTTCATATGACCCCCCCCCCCAAAAAAAAGGACCATCTCTCCCCGCATTACTCAAAATTCCCATCCCCTTACCCCGCCCCCCCCAAACAAAAACAAAAACAAAAACAAAACAAAAACAAAAACAAACAAAACAACAAACAAACAAACAGCAACAACATTTAAAAAACAAACAAACAAAGCCCCCCTCCCAAATAAAAACCAAACAAACAAAACCTCTACCCCCAAAAACAAACAAACACTCCCCCCCCCCCCAACATAAACAACAACTAAAACAGCAACAAACAATCAAACAATCAAACAAACAACCCCCCCCCCCCCAATCTGTCATGTGACTGTTATTCTTTCTGTCTCTCCAGTATGGGATGTGTGCAGTGAGTTTGAGAACCTCAACTGTAGTCATGGCTGCACCGTGGACTTGAAGACAGAAGTGGCTCAGTGTTTTTGCCATTGGGGGTACCGCTTGATGGGGCTTGAGCAGTGTGCTGGTATGTGGTGTGCTACAGACACTTTGGG